CTTGTTAATGTTACCGAACTACAAGTTCGGACACAAGAAGAAGCCAAAAGAAAAGGCAATATAATATTTACTTGTTATACCCTCCGATTTTATTGTTATTTATAGATTTGGCCCTTTTAATATTAGTCGTTCACGCGGTTTGGTTTCGATTGGACCGAACACAAAGTAAAGTGGTTTCGTTGTGTGCTTCACACGTGTGACGTTGGTCTACCACAAGTCTTGTCCGAGAAAATATCATAAATTTTAGAAAACAAACTGTTTTACAATTATTACCAATTCATTGAATACTTTAACGGAAAAAACATGTTTATCAGATTAAAAGTGAATCAAATTATTGATTGGTTTTATAGTATTTAAAAACATTTGAAACTTAACCTCTACCATATGTTTAATACAACCATGCATGAGTATCAGATTTTTTAGTGACACGTTCATGCATTACGTCTAATTGTCTTATTGAATGAGGATAATTAATTAATGTACGAATTATTCTTTCAATATTATACAGTAATTACAAACTCGAGAGTGACATGAGTCATCTCAAATTGATTATATAAAAAAGAAGTTGCATGTGAATGAAGGGAATAAAATGGTGTGGCATTAATCAATTTCTTTATCACACAAACAAGGAAGAATCCAATTTACATTTTGGCAACCAACAAATATATAGCTTTCTTTCCTTTTAGCATTTGTGATTTTGTTAGATCCTCTTATTTCTTTCATTTTCAACATTTCAAATTAATTCAACCCAACATTCACATTACATAAATAAATGGAAACACTCGACAGCAGAATTTGATTTTGTCTCGATCACTTATGTAAATTTGGGAGAATTTTATTAAATGCAATTAAAGTTTGTTGGTATTTTGTATTACATGATGATGACACCTATCTTTTTTTGCATAAACGTAACTTTATATGTACAATCTATTACATCAGTATAGGGTGTCGACTTGCATTGGTTGTTTCAACTACATCTACATTAGTATTCCAAGACTTTTACTTCATTCCAAAAATCGTCCAGCTAGGAGCGAGCTCTCAACTTG